TGAGCAAATGGAAGCTAATGAGTTTATGAGAAATCAAGAAATAATAAAAAAAAAAAGAATGAAAAAATAGAAGGCAGTGTAGAATAGCTCATTGGAAAAACAACTGACCTGGAAAATAGATCCAAGAGAGATCATTTAAAAATTATTGGACTACCTGAAAGCCATGATCAAAAAAAGAGACTAGACATCATCTTTCAAGAAATTATCAAGGAAAACTGACCTGATATTCTAGAACCAGAAGGTAAAATAGAAATTGAAAGAATCTACCGATCACCTCCTGAAAGAGATCCCAAAATGAAAATTCCTATGAATATTATAGTAAAATTCCAGAGCTCTCAAGTCAAGGAGAAAATATTGCAAGCATCCAGAAAGAAATAATTCAAGTATTGTGGAACCACAGTCAGGAAAACACAAGATTTAGCAGCATATCCTACATTAAAGGATCAGAGGGCTTGGAATATGATATTCCAGAGGACAAAAGAGTTAGCATTACAACCAAGAATCACCTACTCAGCAAAATCCTTCAGGGGGGAAAATGGATATTCAATGAGATAGAGGACTTTCAAGCATTCTTGATGAAAAGACAAGAGTTGAATAGAAAATCTGACTTTCAAATACAAGACTCAAGAGAAGCATAAATAGGTAAACAGGAAAGGGAAATCATAAGGGACTTAATAAGTTTAAACTGTTCCCATTCCTACATGGGAAGATGATAACTTGTAATTCATAAAAACTTTCTCATTATTAGAGCAGTTAGAAAGAGTATATATAGACAGAGGGCACAGGTGTGAGTTGAATATGAAGGGATGATACCTAAAAAATAAAATTAAGGGGCGAGAGAGGAATGTATTGAAAGAAAGGTGGAAAGGGAGAGGTAGAATGGGGGTAAATTATCTCACATAAAAGAGGCAAGACAAAGCTTTTATAATGGAGGGGAAGAGGGGAGAGGTGAGGGGGAGTGAGTGAACCTTACTCTCATCAGAATTGGCTCAAAGAGGAAATAACATACACACTCAATTGGGTATAGGAATCTATCTTACTTACCCTACAGGAAAGTAGGAAAGGAAGGGGATAAAAGAAGGGCTTGGGGGGGGGGCACAGTGCATCATAGAAGGGAGGCCAGATTGGGGGAGGGGGTAGTCAGAAGCAAAACATTTTGGAGGAGGGACAAGGTGAAAGGAGAAAGAGAATAGAATAAACGGGGAGTGGGGGGAATAGGATGGAGGGAAATATAGTTAGCAATAGTAACTGTGAAAAAAATTTTGAAACAAGTTTCTCTGATGAAGGCCCCATTTCTCAAACATATAGAGAATTCAAACAAATTTATAAAAATGGGAGCCATTCCCCAATTGATTAATGATCAAAAGATATGACCAGTTTTTAGATGAAGTAATCAAAGCTATCTATAGCCATATGAAAAAAAAGTTCTAACTCATTATTGATGGAAGAAATGCAAATTAAAACCATTTTGAGGTATTCTCTCATACCTATTAGATTGGCAAATAGGACAGAAAAGGAAAATGACCAATGTTGGAGGGGATATGGAAAAAATTAGACATTAATGCACTGTTGGTGGAGTTGTGAACTGATTCAACCATTCTGTAAAACAATTTGGAACTATGGCCAAAGAGCTATAAAACCATGCATACCATTTGACCTAGCAATACCACTACTAGGCCTGCATCCCAAAAGAAATTAAAAAAAAAAAAGGAAAAGGAAAAGGATCTATATGTACAAAAATATTTATAGCAGCTCTTTTCTGGTGGCAAAGAATTGGAAATTGAGGGGATGCTCATCATTGAGAACGGGTGAATAAATTGTTCCATGTGATTATGATGGAATACTATTGTACTATAAGAAACAATGAGCAGGATGCTCTCAAAAAAACCTGGAGCTCTCGCTTCCCGGCCATCTTGGCCGCAGGTCTCTGGCTGAGGGTCCTCCCGCACTGCAGGCAGGAAGACGGTGGCCGCAAAGAAGACAAAAAAGTCGCTGGAGTCCATCAACTCGAGGCTCCAGCTGGTCGTGAAAAGCGGCAAATACCTGCTAGGCTACAAACAGAACCTGAAAATGATCAGATGAGGCAAGCCCAAATTGGTCATCTTAGCCAACAACTGCCCAGCCTTGAGGAAATCAGAGATTGAATATTACGCTATGTTGGCCAAAACTGGCATCCATCACTACAGTGGCAATAACATTGAATTGGGTACAGCATGTGGGAAGTACTACAGAGTATGTACACTGACTATCATTGATCCAGGTGATTCTGATATCATTAGAAGCATGCCAGAACAGACCAGTGAAAAGTAAACTGACTGTCCAAAAGTATTCTTTAATAAACAGGCCATAACTTGTTTAAAAAAAAACAAACCTGGACTTGCATGAGCTGATGCGAAGTGAAATGTACCACATACAAAGTAGCAGCAATATTGTAAGATGATCACCTGTGAATGACTTAGCTATTCTCAGTAATACAATGGTCTAAGACAACTCTGAAGGACTTATGATGAAAAATGTTATCCATCCTCAGAAAAGGAACTGATGATGTCTGAATGCAGATTGAAACATACTTTTTTATTTTATTTTTCTTGGGTTTTTTTGGTCTGTTTCCTCTCACAACATGACTAATATTGAAATGTTTTGCATGACTACACATATACATGGGAGGAAGAGAATTTGGAGCTCAGTTTTAAAAATGAATGCTTGTAACTGGGGAAAAATAAAATACTAAGTAGGGAAAAAAAGGCACATGGGGTGAGAGAAGGGAGAGCAGGAAGAGAAACATGGGGCAAAGCTTTCCTTTCTCAGAGCAGAAGTTCTCAAGCCAGGCCTCTCACCCCTAGGCTGCAGGATAACCATCTCTCCCCATCTTGGTTGCTCTGCTGTCACTTGGAGAGGTTTGGGCTTTTTGGTTTTTTTTTTTTGGTGGTGGTTGGGGGAGGGAGGGTGGGAAGAAGTTGAGCACCAAACTAAGGGGCAGGACCTGGGACAAAGCACAGTACACAGGTATTTTTTTGGAATGTACATTTCTTTCTCTTTTTTAAATTTAAATTTTATTTATTTTTTTGTTACATTGAAAGTTCCAAACTGTCTCCCTCCCTCCCCACTTCACACTAGAGAAGGCCACCTGTGGACAGATAAATACATGCACATTATATGTATGTATTATATGTGTATATATACACACATAAAGATACATTTTATAATTTTACATGTATATGACTACATATACTTATATGTATATATACTTATATGCAGATATACCGATACATATATACATACTTACATGTATATATGTATCTATATATATTTATATGTAAAACCATACTATGCATACCTTATCAGTTTTCTCTGGAGGTAGATAGCATCTTCCTTCACTGGTCCTTTATAGCCAGTTTGAGTATTTATACTATGCAGAATAACTTAGTCGTTCACAGCTATTCTTTAAACAATATTGCTGTTACTATATACAACGTTCTCTTGGTTCTGTTCATTTTTACTCTTCATTATTTCATGCAAGTCTTTCCATGTTTTTCTAATCAACCTGCTCATCATTTCTTATAGCACAGTAGTATTCCATCACAATCATATACCACAACTTGTTTAGCCATTCCCCAACTGATGGGCATCACCTCAATTTCCAGTTCTTTGCCGCCACAAAGAGAGCTGCTATAAATATTTTAAAACATGTAGGCTCTTTTCCTTTTTCCCCGATCAGGTTGGGGAAAAGACCTAATAATGGTATTGCTGGGTCAAAAGGTATACAGAGTTTTATAACTCTTTGGGTATAATTCCAAATTGCTCTCCAAAATGACTAAATTAGTTTACAGTTCCACCAAGAGTGCATTAGTGTCCCAATTTTTCAATACTCTCTCCAACACTTGTCATTTCCTCTTCTATCATTTTACCCAATCTGATAGGTGTGAGACGATATTTCAAAGTGGTTTTAATTTACACGTATCTATTTCTGGTTAACCCTTAACCTCTTTGTGGTTGAGACAAAGTTTCAGCTACAGAAAATATTTTGGGAAACGAAGCGGGCTACATTATAATATCCATTAATACACAGGCACCCTGGAGAGAAAGTTAGGAAAGGAGTAGACCATAGAACTTCCCTCAGTCCATGAGTAAGTGGAGTTGACCTCAATCGTTGTCTGAGATGCTGTAGGGCTGAGGGCCATCTGTTAAAACCTTGTTGTTGCCACGGCTCAATTTGATAAGCATTAGGTGGAAGGTCCTGTTTTGGCACAAGGGAATGAGGTGGGGGTGGGGCCTGCCTAGTCTCATCTCTTCTTTGGTTGTGCCTCGCACCCCAAATGTGGGTTTGGCTTCTCATATCCCAGCTGTTAGCAACAGCTTTTCGTCCCCTTGCACGCAAAGTACACAGGGAGCACACAGACTATAGCCCTCTGACAGATGAGGCTAGACTACTCTGCAGGGTCCCGCTGTGAAAGAATAAGGAACCCACTGAGAAGAGGGGAGACTGACCACCACTCACCAGTTCATTCACCCTACAGGGTGGTCGCTGAACGTAGGATGGCAGAGCTACCAGCTGAGTTAATGGGGTTGGGAGGCAAGTCTACCACAACCTCCTGCTGCAGGGGCCTGAGGGCAGGTTTCAAAGCTCCTGGTAAACTCACGGGATGCATACCCTACTCCTTCATATCATCAGAGCCTTTAAAAGCTGGGAGAGACCTTGGAGATCATCCAATAAAACCTTCCCATTTTCTAGTTAAGGTCAATAGTCTTATCAGTAGCAGAAATGGCATCCGAATACAGATCTCCTGGCTCCTAGGCCAGAGGATAAGAGCTGAAGGACTATGACAGAACCACAGAAGCTCTGAGATAACAGGGCCCTCTGTGCATCTGCTCCAAGGCCCACCAGAACAGTAATCCCCTGCATAACAACCACAAACAGACAGTCATTTACCCACCCAAAGCTGCCGCCCGGGGGGGCAAAAAGACAATCAAAAGATTTAAGGCTCAGGATCAGCATAATCATGAGTCCTTTTGGTTTCCTTTATTTGGTTTAAGATAATGACTTCAAGATACAAATCAGGTGGTGCTGGTAGGTGGGGGGGGGGTGGAGGGGGAGAGGGGAGAGAGAAGAGAATAGGGATGTCACTTTTGGGTAGGCCTGATCTGGCCACTTGCAGCACTGTTGGTCTCAGAATCTGCTCCGTTTATTGCTTAGATCTGGGCAGAAGGTAGAGGGAAAAAGAAGATACCTGTTGTGAGAGGGCATCATATATCCTATAATTCAATTCCCAAAGGTTCAAGTGCCATCAGCTAGGGGCTGGTGTGGGTGTGGGGCTAGGGGAAGGCAAATCTACCACCCATGTGGGGTTAGCACTAAGCACTGATGAAAAGTGCCATTCTCTATGGCATGTGATCAGTGACACACCAGCAACAGAAATAAATGAATTCCGGCCCTGTAAGGGAGAAAAAAGCCCTCAAATTCCAAGGATAGCAAGAAGTAACTCCACGCCACCCCAGTAATTCTGCTGTGGCTGCTTGGGCTTGATGAACATGAGGGGTAGGGGTCCAAAGGAAGCAGGGTTGAGTCCCAGCATCTTCTGGAGGGCCACCCCTGCTCCTTTGGGGGGTGTGAGGCTAGGAATGGATGGCAGATCTTCAGTTACCACTTCCTAAAGAGGGAGGAATGCCATAACATGGAAAGCTCCCAAGGCCTATGGGCCTGAAAAGGAGAGGAGAGGAGAGGAGCAGCCAGCTAAGAAGGGGGGAAAGCACAGTAAGCTCTCGAGACAGAGGCACAGTGTCACTCCCGCCCCAATCCTCCTCCTCATGTTGCTCAGCTCACTGAACAAAGAAATAAACCCACTCCAGCCTGGCTCTGTGGTCAGGCCCCACTGGGGAAGGGCCGTTAAGAGTCGGGGCCTCCCTCCAAGGGGAGGGGCTGATGCTTCAGCTGCTGCTGCTGCTATCTTCACTGTCTGAGTACGCCCCCAGCTGGCTCAGGGATGAGGAACCGGGTATTCGGGGCAACGAATTGGCATCCTTCAAACTCTGTGGTATGCCTACAAAGAGAGGCTGGGGTCAGTTTTGTTGGGCCCTCCCCAACACTGGAGCCCTGAGTCTCCACAAAGTCATGGTTCAGCAGTACAGGATATTAGGAAAAACTTAATACCTCCTTCCTCCCCTCTTCCCTCCCAGCACCACCACCACCCCTGCCCCTGCCCCCTTCAGAATTGGTTTCTATCTTCAACAGCTATCACAGTCATCTCTGGTACAAAGGGAATCAAGGATCAGAAACAAAGCTATTCTCTGCACCTGCGTGGGCACCCTTTGCCCCCTAGTGGCTGCCTCAAAGACACTTCTTCCCTTGTTTCTTCAGCAAACAGGACACAGACCAAGAATTTCAAAATCATATGAAATTCAGAGAACAGGTCCTTAGAGACCATCTGGACCTGGGGTGGGCTTAACCTGGCATTCACAGATTTTTAGGGGGGGCCATGAACTTGTATTAAATATATATATATAATATATTTCCCAACCTCTACATGAAATGTAGCATTTCCTTCAATTATTTAAAAACGTTATTCTGAGAAGGGGGGGGGGGGGGCATAGGCTTCACTGGACATATTCCAAAGGGATCCAGGAGACAAAAAAAGTTAAGATCTAGACCAAATTCTTCATCGAACAGATGAGAAAACAGAGGTTCTGATAAGTAAAGTTAAGTAAAGTAAAGTAAAGTAAAGTAAAGTAAAGTAAAGTAAAGTAAAGTAAAGTAAAGGTCATGCAGCTATGAAGCAGCCGAGCTGGCTCTGCCCCCCCAGATGGTCTTCTGGCTTTAACTCCCAATGTTGCCCTTCTTTCTAGCAGTTAAGGGACTCTTGTGAGGCTGGCGCCCATTACCTGTGCCCGAGGAAGGCAAGCCCACGTGCCCATTGCTGCTGCTGGTCCTCTGGGCAGGCGCCTTCTTTGCCACAACCAGGCCTGCCAGCTTGGACTTACTGCCCAGAGCACCCACACTCCGTTCCCAGCTCTCCAACTTCTGCTTTTTTATCTGTGGGACCTGAGGGGGAAGAAGAGGGCTATGAGACAATTGGTTCTCAAAAATCATTCCTAGGAATTCAAAAATTACCCTTTCATTTGGAATTAATTAGTGCTCAATCCTTTCTTGATTGAGATAACATGCAAAGGGGCCTTTGCAAACTTTAAAGCTAGCCATGATTACCATCCCCAGGCTTCCTGCCCGTGGGGGGTCTAGGCTATGGGGCTGACAGTCCCTTCTGGCTCCGTTTTCAATGATTCCACACCCAGAGGGGTGGAAGGGCGTAAATTCTCCCAAAGCACTTCCGGAGAAGCCTTCACAAGGCTGGACACCCAGGGAGCATGTTCCTCAAAGCCCCAGGATAGAAGTGATGAAGGTGGGAGACCTGGCCTAGAAAGAAAAGCTGGAGAGAACAGCAGGCATCTCCACTAGCAGCTATCATCACTATTTTAAGCAAAGGACAACAGATCTAGGAAGGACTTTAAAACAAAATGTCAGTTGGAAGGGTCCTTCTAAACACCTGTCTGGAGAGCATGGGGAGGGGGAGGGGGGGCCGGTGGAGGACATGAATTGCTCTCCCCACCCCAGCCCTGCTCATTGAGTGCCAGTGCTCCCCAGTACCTGTAAGATCCAATGTAAACTCCTGCCTGGTGTTTATGGTTGTTCCCAGTCTGGCCCTCTCCTGCCTGCTCAGTCCTCTGACACACTCCTCCTCCCCTCCATGCTCTCTATGGCCTAGTCATACTAGCCTACCTGTTCTTCCTTGTCTTTGTATCCCCAACAACTGTGCCTGAAACACAGTAGGTGCTTAGTAAATGTTTGCTGATTGATCAAAATACTAGCATCTTTTGCTCCTCTGGCTGGTTGCCAAGCCCACAGCTTAAATTCCTTACTGGTCCTGTGTCAAGGATAAGGTCTGGGTAGTCCAGCTGCAAAACTGTCACTTCCCCTTTCCTAAACTCCATCCACCATCACAATTAGCTTGTGGTGGGGCAGGGAGGTAGTCTCAGACTTACCTCCTCTAAGATGGCTGTGGGGGTGGCCCGAACGGGCATTGGAGAAGGCGCAAGGGCGAGCTCTTCATCAGAATCAGAGTCTTCAAGCAGTCTCCGTCTCCGGGCCTGCTCCATCATGGCCCTGGGGATAGACAATTGTCTGTTAGGGCCACATGGCTTCTTCTTGGGAGGCACAGCTGTGACTTCACAGGCAGCCTCCAGCTAGTCATTACCCATGGACAGTGTCTCTTCTTTTCCTCAATGATGCCCAAAGCTATTTCCCTTCGATCTCCTCTGGAAAGGAGTGGCCCCAGAGCTGCTCCCCAACCAGCACATCGCTGTGAAACCGTGGCATATCCTGATGTGTGGTGTCCTAACACCCCTTACTCTCCTTGGCTCTCTCTGTGCCAACCCTACTGAAGAAAGGACACAGGCTAGAGTCTGCAATGGGGCCTGCCCTGGAGGCTGGTATGTGAGCCAAGCTCCCCAGTCATTTTCATTTTATGAACTTGTCAGAATACTAAGGGGTATGGGGTGTGGGGAGAGAGAAACAGGGTGAAGGAGGCAACACTTATTTAATACCTGTTTCTCTCAACACTCACAAGGCAGGGAGATGGGGAAACTAAGGCCTAGAATCACCACAGACCACTGAAACAGATCAATTTTAAAGAGTTTAGATACAGAAGAGGTAGAATCCCATGGCCTAAGGATTCTACAGGAAAAGTTCACTCAAGGGGACTGGGAGGCTCTCAAGAACGAACACAAATTATCCCAATGGGGAAGAAAAGAGGAAAATGTCTAAAGAGATTGATTTGCATGCATCAAGAATCAGATTTTTAAAAAAAATTGTACAGAAAATGAAAGAAAGGGCAAGTGAATGAATATGAATACAAAAAAGTGGTGTGGCCCCATAAAAATGTCAGGAATGTTAAAGCTCAGAATGAGCTGAGGCTTGCAATGAATACAAATATTAAAGACGACAAAAAGCAACTTTTTAGCTATTTGATGGCAAAAAGAAAATTAGGGCAAACAACCCCTGCTCATGGTAGATGAGATGATAATGGAAGAAGGTGGATCTTTTCATAAAGCATTTACAGTTTACCGAATGTGTCAGCCACATCCTCCCAGACGGCTGGCTGGCTGGCCAGCCTCAAGACTCTTTGGGGTAAGATGGTTCCTCTTCCTGCCCCCACCCCCATCCTAACCTGAGGGACAGCTTTGCCCCTGCCCCCTGCTAACAACTCTCTACTTGCAAGGGATAAGGTCCTTTAGGGCTCCCAGGATCACCTCTTTCCTAGAGCCCTCGTGTGGTCAGGAACCCATCCCTAACCGATGCAATCTCTCATGGAAAACTATAATCTCAGAGCTGGCAAAGACCTTGGTAGTCATCTAGCAACTGAGCAGAAGTCGTGGTGTAGTGAAGAATAATGGACCCGGAAAAAAGGACACCTGCATTCAAGTCCCCTCACACCTATAAGCTGTAGGACCACGGGCAAGACAGTCTTAGCTCCAGTTTCCTCATCTATTAAATCAGCATAATAACACTTATACTACCTATCTCTTGGCCTTGTAAGAAATGCACTTTGCAAACCTTAAAATATTACAGAAATGTGAATAAACATCTTTCTCACAACATTCTTCACAAAAGGATGTGAAGCCTCTGATTTAAGACTCCAATGGTAAGGCACCTATTTCCTCTCAGGGCAACCCCCTGCATCCACATCCCCTTCCTCTGGCTCCCCACAAGCTGTCAATGTCTTTTCCAAAATCTGCCAAACTGAAATCAATCCTCCTCATTTCCTTCCTGTTAAGCTTACTCCATTTCCCTCCGGTCCTCCTCCTGCTCTCGCTGGCGCTTCTCTTCCTCGGACACTCGGTGCTGCTGTAACATTGCCTCGAAGTCCACGTTAGCCTGGCGCTGGTTGAGCTCCTTTAGCTCCTGCAGGTTCTCTAGGACCTCCATCTCCAGCTTAGAGTCTTTGGTCCGATTCTCCAGCACCTGGGGGAGGATGGACACAGCAATGAGACTCAGGGCCAACCGGGTTTCTAGTACAGCACCCACACTTCTGAGCCTCAGTTTTCTCATCTGTAAGGTTGGGATGATAATACTTGCATCACCAGCCTCCCAGTGTTGTAGTGAGGATCAAATGCAATACTGTATAGGTATGTTCCATGTGGCTCTGTCTTGTCTTCTCAACTGCCCTGATTCACTGGTATATATCTCTACCCTGATGCTGGACTTAAGAGTCAGGAGAGACCTGGGTTCCAATCCTTCCTTTGACACTTGACAGCTATGTCACCTTGGGCAAGCTAATAAACACCTCCGAGCTTCAGCCTCCTCATTTATAAAATACCTGCCATACTACATGTAATGAGAAAATGTATGTAAAGCATTTTGCATAACTTAAAGTTTTACAAATGCCAGTTGCTATCATTATTATTATTATTACTCCCCAACTTATTTCCCAGTAATATACCATGAAAGCAGGAATGGACTCTGGGACACAACCTAGACAGGTAAAGGTGGAACAGACCTTAGCACACACTCTATCAGGGCCTCAATTGCAGGCAGGCCAGTCTACTGCCTTTGGGCTCTGACACAACATACTTAGCACTAGAAGTCAGCTGCCATGTGCTAGGGGCTGCCCAGGGAATTGCTACCACAAGCACAGAACCCGGGGGTTCTGTGAGAGAGGCAGAAAAAAAGAGGCCTGAGTGTGGACGTGGAGATTTGGATTCAAGAATTGGTATTGACATTTATTAGCGACACACATGACTTTGGGCAAGTCACTTCTCTCCGAGTGTCAGCTTCCTACACTATTTACCTCTCAGGGCTGGGGTGAGGAAAATGTTCTATAAACCTTAAGATACATGGAAATGTGAGGTATTATTATATTACCTTCATGGGATTATTTAATTCTTCATCTTCTCTTTCCTTCTGTACCCTTTTCTCTTCCTCTTCCAGTAGTTTCTCAGCCTGGAAGTTCCGGGTGGCTCCATGCTCCATGGTATAATCTGTGTTCTCAGGGTCTGTCTGGGGGCAAAGAAGTCAGTTTTATATGAATCCAGGCCATGGGTCAAAAGCAGTCTGGCTTAGAAACTGTATGGTATAGCTGTCAGATGAAACAGAAGAAGACGTAAGAAAACCCAATTGGTCAACTGGAGCAGCAGCTGAGGTGGCAGTCTAGGACCTGACCCAGTGAGGCTGGTGGCCAGGAATAATTCCATTTCAGAATGAGTTAGAGGAGAAAACAAGGATGTAAACAGTTCTCTCAGGACATGCCTGACTGGATCTGATTGCACAACTTCCTCATTTCTTATTTTATAAGATAGTACAAGGGACATGGAGCCAAAGGGCCCAGGCTTCAGGCCTTGTTCTCAAATTTCTTTGCTGGGAAATGAGAAAGTCATAAGCCCTCTCAACTTCAGTTTTCTAATCTGTAAAATGGGAATAATACTTACACACACTGAGATCATAGACTTGGTGTAAAGAAAGCACTTTACAAACCTTAAAATATGAGTATGAGTAATTATTATCAGTAACAATAAATTCCACAATGGCAGGAACTGTCTCACACCCCACTGCATTAACCACAGCTTGTGGCCCTGGGACTTGTAAATAGCAGGCCCTCAATAAATATTTGTTGATCAGCTCATTCTATGAGAAGAAAACACAGGCTAGGCAGTCAGAAGGCAAGTGAAAGCCTTTGTAAGGAGGTTCTAAACCATCTGCAGAACAGGGAAGGGATGTACACAAAGTTGTCTGTGTGTCCTAGGGCCTTCTTGAGACACTTGAAGATCAACTCTCATCCTTTTTCTTAGGGCTAGTCCTGCCTTTACCAGCTCAGAAACTTCCATAAGGTCCAGGAGACTGGTTTAAGTAGTTTGTGGAGGGCCTATAAGGGTTGGTTAAGACTCAGGATCTTGGGAATATACCTTGAAAAGGTTACAAAAAACAAAACAGCTATATGTTCAAAGATTTTTATAACAGTATTTTATGTTATTTTTAAAAACTGGAAGCAACCTAAATGTCCAACAACAGAGCAAAACCTCCATTTTGAGGAAGGGAACAATACCCTTCATTTCTCTCCTGGCTTCACCTGACTCTGGACTTTGCCATCATGACACCTCTGCCTACTCTTTCCCTACCTGCACCCCCTTTCAGCTCCCTTCTGTGTGCTGTCTCGCCTCTCCTTGAGGGCAGGGACTGTCTTTTCTTTTTGCTTGGATTTTAATCCCCAGAGCCAAGCATAGTGCCTGGTACACAGTAAGTACTTAATAGATGCTTGACTAGACTTGAATAGTTAATTAACTGTGTCCTAATTAGAATGTTAGAATTCAAGAAACACACAAGAATGAGGAATATAAGAAAATTTGGAAAGTCAGTCAGTAAACATTTACTCAGTCAGTCAACCAATAAATATTTATTAAGGGCCTATTATGCGCAAAGCAGTAAATACTTACTATTAAGGTATAAGTACTATTGATACAAAGAAAGGCAAAACAATAGTATCTGACTTCAAGGTCCATATATTTTAATATGGAAGACAACGTGAAAATAAGTAAGTATCTACAAGACACAGACAGAGGAGCTAGAAAGTAGTTTCAGAAGCAAAGGCACCAAGAGTTGGAGGTGGGATGGGGGGAGGGGGAGGGGCTAAAAAAGGCCTCCTGTAGAAGCTGAAGGACACCAGAGAAAACAAGAGTAGGAGGTGAGGGACAGAGCATTCCAGGCATGAGGGACAGCCAGTGCAAACGCAAAGAGATTGAGATGAAGGGTCATGTTTAAAGAACTCCAAGTAGGCCAAGTAACTGGGTTGTAGAAGGTATGGAGGGGAGTAAAGTGTAAGACTGGAAGGGTAGGAAGGGGCCGGGACACAAAGAGTCTTAAATGCCAGACAGAAGAGTGTATATCTGACCCTGGAGGTAATAAGGAACCACAGGAGCTCACCCAGCTGGGGGAGGAGGAAGGTTATACAATCAACCTACACACTTCAGTTTCTATTTTATCCTCAGTTCCCAATGTAGACACGGACATCAGCTGTTCTAAGAAGATGGAATCTTAGGGTACTCATGGAAAGTCCAAATCTTTACATGTTCATCTTCTCGTTGGGGGTGGGAAGAGAGGAAACAGAGGTTCTTCTCCCTCCACTCCACCACTCCTCAAAACGATTTCCTCTAGGAGATTTGGCTGGAGTAGGACAACCACTAAAAACTGGGTGTTAACCTAGCTTGTTTAAATCCAGATATAATCAAGCTTCTTCAGTCAATCCCAACACACTCCCTGTATACAGCATCACTTCATTTGATCATTGGCTTACAGCAGTCTACTCCTTCTGAAACTTGACTGACTAGGTTGTTCATACTTAGTGACTGACTGAATCAACAGAGGTACTCTCACCTGACAAAAGTATCAGAATTAGAGTATTTTTATTAGTTGCTTTAAGAGCAGAAGAGGGCCTGATTGTTTCAAACGCCAACCCCCCCCCCCCACCTTATATTCTTCCCCTCAAGTTTAACATTTTCTGTCTTCAGCAAATCTACTAAACTGTATTTGGTGAAGTCCAGAATCTAAAATCTTATAATTTGAGGAAGTTATACATTTTCCTTTTTGCTTGGAAAAAAGTATATGTGGCACAGTCCATAATTAAATTTGGTAGTTAGTATTCTTTCAAACTTCCAAAGGCCTGGTGATACAATTTAACAAACAGATATCACTTTTTACAAAGTTATAATACTTTTATTAGAAAGACCTTTCTGAAATAATAGAATGAAACTAGAACAGAACCAGAAGAATTAGGGACACGTTAACTACTCCTGTACAAGACGAAAAGTGAATGAGAATAAATGACAATAAATCCTGACAGAGCCATAGAAGGAATGACTGAAAAAAGTGATATGCTATTCTATGCATTGAAATTATTCAATTTACTGTAAATAGTAACTAAAGAAATTTAGTCACTTGTATTGTTCAATGTTAAATTTCTTAAAACACACACACACATATATTTAAAAGACGTAGTAACTTACTTTGAAGGTGATTTCAGCTAGACATCGGGTACACTTGATATAGAAACGAAAAATTGGGAGTCCCAGATATAGCTCATTCTGCACTGTCTCCTTCCGGGCATTAAATTTCTTGCCTTTATAAATATATTCGCCACATGTCTTACACCTGGAAAGAGAAAAAATCGGAAGTGGCGAATGACTCCCCTAGTCAGTTATGAAGTACCTCGACCTGATGGGAAATAAAATCATCTTCCCTACCTCTTCCCCCACGAACTGGTCCAGACCAATTCCATGCTGGGAGAAAGAATTTCTACTGAAATACAATTATCAAAATATTTTTAAAAGCAAACTCACAGACTCCAGATAATGAAGTTCTGTTTTTGAGGATTTCTGGGAGCCAGTATACAACATGTATCTGATTGCTCCACATTAACCTTTTCAGGCCTTCAAAGCCAGAGGTGGCTAGGTGGGATTCCTTAGGCCCTGCTGTTAGCCCTTTTCTGTATATGGAAGGAAGGGTATTCCAATATATATTCTCACCTCATGTTGAAGGGGGCCATCAGTCTTACCACATATTGCCGATCTTTAGGCAGCTTGAGTTTAGGGATTTTTGATGGATCAAAATCTGGTGGATAGTATTTCTGTGGGGAAGATAAAGACAGGTAATGATCACAAAGAAGGCTAGTTTTGACCCCCCCCCGATTCTCAAGTCAAGGAATTTAACAAGAAAAAGGCAAGAAAAAAAGAAAAGAGCCCATAGAGGAAGTGTATATATGGTATTATAGGAGGAAAACCTCACATAGAGTATTTATAGGGTGGAGAGGATCATAGAGAAAGATCAGTTAAGAAGGAGACATTACGAGAACTGGGAGACAGGGTAGTTTGGGGATAAGACATAGAGAAAGAAAGGGAAAATGGAGGGGTGAGAATGTAGAGAAGAGTTTAAAGGCGAAAAAGCCAAGAGATGTTAGGATCAAAGGATTTAGAGATAGAAGGAGCCTTAAAGGCCATCGAGTCCAATCTCTCATCTTATGGAGGAGGAGAATGAAAACAAAAAGAAGAGAGAGTCCAATTAACGGAGAGAGAGGAACTAGGAAGTAGCTAGCATATAAGTGAGAAACATTAAGAAACCTGTGACCCATGACCATCCCAGGAACTTCCTGGGAAAGGGTGAAAGAGAGAAAGAACTCAGGAAGAGGGCAACCTGTCCCCTGGCCCAAAAAGAAGGCAACTATGTCGGGGAGGGGAAGGACGTAGAAAGGCTCCTTTCACCCAAGAACACCGAGGGTATGACCAGGAAAAAGACCTTGGCAAAATTAAAGGATGCAATCCAATCAAATAAACCTTCCCTTGGAAAGTGTGGGCTTATAAGTTGACACCACCTTTGGGATAAGTGATAACATCTCCTTGTTGAGGTACGACCATAGGTACTTGTTGGCTTACTAACACCACACACGAACCCCAGTTACTACCACAGATCTGGGTCTACCCTTGGGCTTGGCCCTTGAAAGAAGGCAGACAGACCTCCCTGAGGAAGTCTCCACAAGGAGACCATAGCCAAGAAAGAAGCCACAATGCTCTTCCTCCTCCACTTCGACTTTAAGACCCTAAACTCCCACCTCCTACAAGAAGCCTTCCCAAAACCACTCTTGATTCCTGCGTCTTTCCTCTGCTAATTATTTCCTGTTTATCCTGTATATAGTTTATATCCTGCATATATTTGCTTGGCCTCCCCCCTTAGGTCGTTAGTTGCTTGAGGGCAGGCACTGTCTTTTTGTATTCCCAGCGCTTAGATAGTGCCTGGATCAGAGTAGGCGCCTCATGTTTACTCAGTGAATGGACATATTGAGCTGACAGATTCCTCGGCCCTTGGGTCTCTTAACTTCCTGAGATGGCGCCATTCATCTCAAAGTCGGCGTCAACCTTTGAGTTGGTCCACACTTTCCCAAGAGAGATGGTCTCCCCAAAGCCGATGCAAAGATTGACCGGACAACTCCCGACCCATGATGGGGGAAGCCCTACACCGCCCCCCCCGCCCCATCCACAGCGGGATGCCTGGGGAAGTCCCGCCCTCTGGAGGAGCCACGGCCAGCCCTGCACCCCACGGAGGGAGAACCCTTGGGGAGCCCCGCTCTTTGAGGATGGGGCCTCAGGCCTCATCACCAGGAGGGCAGGAACTTGAGGAGCCCCACCCTGGGGAGAAGCCCTGCGAAGGCTGGCCTACGGAGAAGAGAGGTCAGAGGACCCGAGGCCATGGGGCTCTTGCTGCCCGCGCTTTACTCACATTTAAGACTTTTCTCTCAGACATCTTGGCACCACTTCACGAACCCCACTTCGCAGTCACTAAGTTACCTGCAGTACCCGGCACTAGACGCTGCACTGCGGCTCTCCCGACCTGCACAGCCCACTTCCGGGAACTACTGGCCGGATCCACCGCGTTCATTGGTCGAGGGCGCGATGGCCCGCCCCCTTCTGTGACGTACTCCCCGTTCTTCCTCCCTCTCCCACACACCCTTTACGTAAGGTTCGTCTCGTTAACGGGTCCAATGGCAACCGGACCCGCCGCTGCGAAGGTTCCGCAAACACAGGGAAGATTATCCCCGGAGCAAGCAGCTAGAACCTTTTAAAACCTGGGGATCCGGGAGGGAAGGAGAAGAGAGGAAGGCTGGGGGCCTCTGCACTGCCTAGTGCTGGTCACTAGCGCTTTTTTTCTTTTGATTTTTGGTAACGCAATCGGGGTTAAGTGACTTGCCCAGGGTCCACAGCTAGTTAAGTGTTAAGTGTCTGAGGCTAGATTTGAACTTCTGACTCCAAGGCCAGAGCTATATTCACTGCGCCACCTAGCGGCCCCCACTAGCGCTTGCTTGCTTACTTTATGCGCATGCGTGTGTTCATTCCACCATTTATTTACATTTTCTTCTGGTTGGGCTCCCAAAGCTCTCTCTGGGAAATTTGAGGAAAGAATCTGGGGCTGGAAATCAACAGAGGCCAGACTCACTGTGTGGTTGACCTTGGGCAAGGTCATCCCCCCTCCCTGGGCCTCAGTTTTCCCAATAAACTAAGTGGGTTAAGTTTGGGATCCTACAGGTCCCTTCCTGTCCAGCTCTGACATTCTATGTTCTATGGCTCTTCTCTGTCCCTTTTCCTCCCCTGTCCTTGTCTCCTCTCCTCCTCTACCCCCTGTAAGGAAACTGTGAACTTGTGGCCCAGCAGAGCAAGGATAAATAGCTGCCAAATTCGTAGGGCTGAAGATGTAACCCGGAGGAGGAGTCAGTCAGTCAGTTAGTCAACAAGCATTTATTAAGGCTTACTACTTGATTCCAGGCGTTGGGGATACAACGGAAGGAAAAACAAAAGTCCAGAACAAAACTCCCTGTCTTCAAGGAGGTCACAGTCTAATGGGAGACACAACACACAAACAACTATGTATTTATAAGATATAAACAATATAGAGGTTATCTCAAGGGAAGGCACTGGCATCAGGAGGACAGGGAGGGGGATTGCGGAAAGACCCCTTGCAGAAACAGATGAGCTGAGTCTTGAGGGAAGCCAGAAGGTGAGGAGAGAGAATTCTGGGCAATAGGGACAATGGGTACAATGGCATGGCGTCAGAAGGTGGAATATTGTGTGCAAGGTGGGAAGAGCCCAGGTGGTAAAGGGCTTCAAAAACCAAACAGAAGATTTTATATTTGATTCTGGAGTTAAGAGGGAGACAAGTTTATTGAGAAAGGGGGTGATTGTCAAACCTATGGCTTAGGAAGATCAATTTGATGACAGAATGGATGATGATCTGGAGTGGAGATGTGTGAATCTGAAGCAGGGAGACCAAGCAGCAGGCCATTCTAATCCAGCTGTGAGGTGATGAGAGCCTGGACCCGTGTGCTAGCAGTGTTAGGAGAGAAAAGGAGGTGTATACGAGAGATGTTATGAAGATAGAAACTGCATGACCTGGAAAGTTATTGGATTTGGGGGGGGTGAGATAGAGTGAGGAGTTAAGGATAACACCTATTTTGTGAACCTGGGTGATTGAAAGAGTGGTGGTGCTCTCTATAGTAACAGAAAAGTTAGGAAATGAGGAGGGTTTGGGGGAAAAGTTATGAACTCTTCTTTGGAAATACTGTTTTAAGATGTCTAGAGTACATCCACTTTGATGATGTCCAGTAGGCAGCTGGGGATTCTAGACTGGAGGTCAGGGAAGAGGTTAGGGCTCAATAAATGGACAGTTGAATGATGAAGTTAGAAAGCCAGACTACAGAGGGTTTGGAAGAGAGGAAGAGAAGAGAAAGTAGAGGCACCAATTGTAGAGAGGTTTCTCACAAAGTTTAGCCAAGGAATGGAGAAGAGGTATAGAAAAATCGCTATTGGAGGAGAGATGTGGGACCATAATTATCTGGAACAGTGGGATTAAATGAGAGGTTTTTTTTTTTTTTTTAAAGATGTCTGTATTCAGTAAGGAAACAGAGATTGAAGATTAGTGAGAAAGTAAGAACAATAGAGGGGAAATCTGCTGAAGGAGATGAGACGGAATGGGATCCAGGGTACACGGAGGATTGGCCTTGGCAGGGGAAAGGGCCACCTCTTCATATAAGACAGGGGTGAAGGAAGGATTAGTGAGGGAAAGACATTTGACTGATGTGAGATGAGGAGGGAAGGCGAGGGAGATCTCGTCAAATGACCACAATTTTGTCCATGAAGTCCTTAGCTGGCGGAGTGAGGGGAAAGGGGTGCCATGGGAGGCTTGAGAAGGGATAAAAAGGTTTGGAAAGGCCAATGTGGTGAGTGGGAGAGTCTACCAGTTAGGGAAAGAATGACTTCCTGCAGTTAGGGCCCAGTTAAAATTACGTAACACAGATTTGTAGTGGACCTAGTCAAAATAATTTTGAGATTTTCCCCCAACACCCTAATAGGAACGGAGGCAGCAGATGGTGGGAATCATATAGAACTGGAGTTTAGTGAAGGCATGATTGCCAGTAGGCTAAGGGACATGGGATTGGAGAGAAGCTGATAATGGAGAGATGAAGTGGCTCACCAAGAGTCAATGTAGGGAAGGGAGCAGAGTGTAGCCAGTGTGGAGTGATGTCCTGAAGGTTGGGGTGGGGGGACACAACTGAGGGATACAGGGAGTGGAGATCACAGTGAGAATGGAGATCAGGGTCAAGGTCATAAGACTGAAGGAAAGAGAGATGATAAAAGATTATGATCAGTTATAGGAATTTCAGAGTTCATGTACCTGGAAACATACATATGACTATCTCTGTGTGTAGCTGAGGTGTCATGAAGGAAGAGGTCATGACATAGGAGTAGGCTGATGGATAGGAAAGTTAGGGGTTTGAGGGACTATTGAATTATCAAGGGAACTATAGTGAAGTCCCCAGGTGTAAGGATAAGAGTTGGGGTGGAGAGAAAGACTATGAACCAGCCATTGTATTCTTTGAGGAAGGAAAGAGTATCCTGGGGGTTGGTAGATAACAGATACTAGAATCTTGTTTGGGTGATAAATTTGGATTGGATGGATCTCAAAGGAGGAGAAGTTTTGGAGAGATCCTAGTAGAGGAAGAGGGGCACTGGGGAGCAAAGAATATCCTCACCCCCATCACCACTACCACCGTCACCGTCACTACCACTCCAGACTGAAACCAGTGAATCAGGGAGTTTGTGTGAAAGTGAAACCAATACTGGAAAGGGTGGCTAGGGTTGCCATGTCATCAGGAAGGAACCAGGTCTCAATAAGAGCCGGAACATGGAGGGAATGAGACGTGAAAAGGTTTAAGATGACAGCAAATTGATTGACTATGGAGCAGGAATTTCAGAGAGCACAGTAGAAGAGGAGTATATAACTGGAGTCAGACATTTGGAAAATGGAATTGAGGAGGATGGGAGTAAAGGAACAGGTTATGGGTTTTTTTTTCAATGATAGCAGAGGTGGGTTTCAGAATCACTGATTCTGATGAGGAGAGTATTGTGGGTTGGGAGTCATTAAGGAATGAATCCATGTAGAATATCAGTGGCTAGAGAGAGGGCCTTTGAGGAACACAGGATATTAGAGTCTTCAAGGCTTTTGCTGGTGGTCCAGACTTCTGGTGGTGACTCCTGTGAGGCCCAAGGAAGCGCAGCTCCCAACAGGCAGGAATAGGTTAAAGCACAGCCTGTAGAGTCTGAAAAGAAGACAGGAGCTGGCAATTCTGGGGGTGGGTCTGATCCAAAAAGTGCTTATAGAGTACTGGAGAAGGCCTGGGAGGGATGACAGAGGCCACTGTGGCCTAGATCCAGAGATGACAGGGCTGTGCAGGTAGGCATGGGACTGGTTTATCAGGTTCAAGTATCCAGGGCGTTGCCTCATGATGGAGACTGAGAGTTTGGGGATGCCCCAAAACAGGCTACTTGCTACCAGGAGTGGTGGCCACCACAGTGCTCCAAGTGCTTAGTTCTCCATAGTCCATAAAGTCACCAGCTGCAACCTGTACTTGGTACTGGGTCCTGGGTCGCAGGCCTTGTAGGATGAAGGATGTTTCCTCAATTGGCCCCACCTGAGAACAAAATTTGGGTGGTCCAATTACAAAACACTTTTCACACAAATAAAGTTAGATCTAAATAACTGGAAAAACATCAGTTGCTCATGGGTAGGCTGAGCTAATATAATAAAAATGACAGTTCTACCTAAGCTAATTTACATTTTCAGTGCAATATCAAACTGCCAAAAATTATTTTATAGAGCTAGAAAAAATAACAAGAGTCACTGGAAGAGCAAAAGGTCCAGAATATCAAGGGAACTAATGAAAAGAAATGCTAGGGAAGGTGGCCGAGCCGTTCCAGATCTTAAATTATATTATAAAGCAACAATCATCAAAACTGCTTGGTACTGGCTAAGAAATAGAGTGGTAGATCAGTGGAATAGGTTAGGTATGCAGGACATAGGAGTCAATGACTATAGTAATCTATTATTTGATAAACCCAAAGACCCCAGCTTTTGGGATAAGAACCCACTCTTTGACAAAAACTGCTGGGAAAACTGGAAAAGAGTATGGCAGAAACTAGGCATAGGTCAAAATCTCATACCATATACCAAAATAAAGTCAAAATGGGTTCATGATTTAGATATAAAGGCTGATACTATGAGTAAACTGGGAGAGCAAGAAATAGTTTACCTATCAGATTTATAGAGAGCAGAAGAATTTATGACCAAACAAGAGAGAGAAAGAGCATTATAAAATGCAAAATGGATAATTTTGATTACATTAAATTGAAAAGTGTTTTTGCACAAACAAAGCCAATGTGACTAAAATTAGGAGGGAAGCAGAAAACTGGGAAAAAAGTTTTACAACCAGTGTCTCTGATAAGAGCCTCATTTCTAAAATATATAGAGATCTAAGTCAAATTTTTAAGAATACAAGTCATTCCCCAATTGATAAATGATCAAAAGATATAAACAGGCAGTTTTCAGATGAAGAAATTAAAGCTATCTATAGTCGTATGAAAAAATGCTCTAATTCTCTATTGATTAGAGAAATGCAAATCAAAACAACTCTGAGGTAGCACATCACACCTATCAGATTGGCCAACGTGACAAAACAGGAAAAAGATAAATGTTGGAGAAGATGTAGGAAAACTGGAACACTAATGCATTGTTGGTGGAGTTGTGAAATGATCCAACCATTTGGGAGAGCAATTTGGAACTATGCCCAAAGGGCTATAAAAATGTGCACACCCTTTGACCCAGCAATAGCAGTTCTAGGGCTGTATCCCAAAGAGATCATAAAAATGGGAAAAGGACCCACATGTACAAAAATATTTATAACAGCTCTTTCTGTGGTAGCCAAGAATTGGAAATTGAGGGGATGACAATCAATTGGGGAATGGCTGAACAAGTTATGGTATATGAATGTAATGGAATACTACTGTGCTATAAGAAATGATGAACAGGCTGACTTCAGAAAAACCTGGAAAGACTTATATGGACTGATGCTGAGTGAAGTGAGCAGAACCAGGAGAACATTGTACACAGTAACAGTCACGTTGTATGACGACTGACTTTGATAGACTTAGCTCTTCTTAGCAATGCAAAGATCTAAGACATCTCCAAAAGTCTCATGATGGAAAGTCTTATCCACATCCAGAGAAAGAACTATGCAGTTTGAATGCAGATTGAAGCATACTATTTGCTCTTTTTTTTCCTTCTGTTTTGTTTTGTTTCCTCTTTTTTGTTGTTCCTCCTACTGGTTCTAATTCTTCCTTACAACATGACTAATGTGAAAATATGTTTAATAGGAATGTATATGTAGAGCCTATACCAGATTGCATGCTGTCTTGGGGAGGGAGGTGGGGAGGGAGGGGGAGAAAAATTTAAAACTCAAAAGCTTATGGAAGTGATTGTTGAAAACTAAAAATAAATTAATTAATAAAAAAAGATAAACATTAAAAAAAATGTGCGTAGTCAGTGCCCAGAGAGAGGCCTCATCTTGAGATTAGCACTGGAGAGGGATAGGTAGGTTTCTTTAAAAGGGAGGTGCTGATGAAGGGAAACTGTAAGGCTTGGTGGGCAGAGCCTGGGACTAAGAATCAGGACAATTGGATTCTGGTTTCCATTGTCCCTGCTGTGTGACCTTGAATAAACTCTCTTCATATCTAGCACTTCAATTCCTCCATCAGTAGGGTGAAGGAGTTGGGCTAGTTGTCTCTAAAAGGACCCTTCTCACCCTGACGTGTTATGTTTTAACATTCTAGACTTCTGTAGCATTCAGAGTTCTAAGGTTCTGCTCTCTGGGCAATTCCTTGATCGGCTTAACCACCCCTCTGAGATAGTGGGCTTCAAACACACCCCGCCCCCAACCCCTCCCCGGCTCTTGTCCCAGTCAAGGTCTTACCTGTCGGAATCTGGTAGCCCCCTGTCTCTGGTAACGGATCAGGTACTTGAGTGGAAAATACCTGGGGAGGGGCCAGGAGTGGGGGGGCTCCCACTGTACTCGAAGTTGCTTGCCAGGGATAGGGCTCACACTCATAGCTTCCGGTGGGTCGGGTTTAACTGCCACCCATAAACACATTGGTTATAGAGTGAAAGGGTCCTAGGACATCATCATTTCTCATGGCTACCCAGCACCCCCTTTGAAAGACCTTCCCCCCAATCTCCTTCCTTTGCCCCAGAGGTAGACCCTGAATATCTGATATTGTATTAGGCACCCCTTTCCCATCCATACTCAGCCTTGACTTCCTAATACATTATTTGGAATTCCCAGGCTGGACTCACTTATATGCTCTGCGATGAAGGGGACCAAGCTACTTCTGGCTCCCTGTTGAGTGATAACTGTGATGTTGAGGATGTAGGGAGTCATGGAGAACATCTGGATGTCAGGGATGACACAGCTCCGGGCCTCAGGGGATGGCTGAAGGCAGGGATGTGTCTCCCCTTGGCTGATCATTCCTAACCTGAAATGGAAAGACAAGATTCTGATCTCAGTAACCCCCTCACCTTGTCCCAGATTCAGGGGCATCCCCAGCCTGCAGGGAGGGACCACAATGTTCATGTTATTCCCCACATCCCTCCCTCTACCCCAGCTAGGTGCAATATTTTAAGATGGACTTGGGGTGGTGTAATGTGAAGAATCCTGGGCTGGAAGTCAAGAGATCTAGGTTTAAGCCCCAAGTCTGCCACTGACTCTGTGTGTCTGGGTAACGACAACCACAATAATAATGACAGCTAGCATTTATGTAGCACCTACTATGTGCAAGGTATTGTGCTAAGTGCTTTATAAATATTATCTCATTTGATTTTCACAACAACCCTATAAGGTACATGCTTTTATTAGCCCCATTTTATAGTTTTAAAGGGACTTGCCCAAGCCCACAAAGTGTCTGAGGCCAGATCTACATGAAGATCTTCCTGACTCCAGGCCCAGTGCTCTATCCACTGTCCCACCTAGCTGTCTTCCCCCATCTTCCTCTTCTGAAAGGAGGCTTGAACCAATAGTCTCTAAGAACTCCTCTGGCTCTAAAGTTCTACTTTCTGTGATTGACAGTGTATCCAGAGGATCATCCAGAGGTCAGCATGGTGAGCAACCTGGACAGCACCAAGTGTGAGAAGCCACTGAGTTAATTCGAGATGTTTGGCCTGGAAGAGAGAAAAACTTGGGGGGAAGGAAGAACATGACAGCTATTTTTGTGTATCTGAAGGCCTGTCACACGGAAGAGAAGGTAGACTTGTTCTCCCTTGGCTCCTGAGGACAGAACCAGGAACAACTGGGGAGACAAAGGTGGAGTAGGTCCAAGGAGGTAGATTTCAGTTTACTATAAGGAAGAATTCCCTAATGATCAGAGGTGACCCACAAGGCAATGGACTGCCCCCACGGAGAATGAGCTTTCTCCTACTAGAAGTGTCCAGTCAGGGGCTAGGTAACTTTCTATAAGGCATGTTTTCTATAAGGGACAATTGGAATACATTCCCTCGGAGGTCCCATCCAGCTTCTAAGCTTCTGAATTTCTAGAATTCTGTGACCTCTGACCTGTAGGTGGCAATAAAGGAGGCTTGCAGGCCCGGCTCAGGATCTGTCGCCGTCTCTCTGTCGGTGGTCCAGGAGCAATCTATGGCCTCGGGATACCTCACAGCCCAGCACTGCACAGATAGGAGGCGTGGGGACTCTGAGGGATGAGAGAGAAAGGCAGAGGGAGGGTAGGGACGGGAGTCTTTGAAGCCCTTCATGCTAACCCCCACTCACTCTCTCTTCCAGACAAGCTGGACCACCTGCTGGGGATCAAACCCAGCATTCTGTCTCTGGCTTCCATACCTTGGAACAGGCTGTCCCCCACGTGGAGAATGTGCTCCTTCCTCACGTCCATTCCTTAGAATCCTTAGCATCTTTCGAGGCTCAGCTCATCTGGCACCCCCTGCTTTCCTCATCTCTTGGTTATTAATATTCTCTCCTTCCTTGAATAATCACAGGTACTTATGTAGTGTATCTCTCTACTGTGGGAGTTCTTAACCTTGTTTGTATCATGTGCCCTGTTTGGGAGTCGGGTAAAACTTATGAATCCCTTCTCAGAATCATGTTTTTAAAGGCATAAGATAAAATTGTAGGATTATAAAGGAAATGCAGTTATCAAAATATTTCTAGAACAAATTCACAGATGCTCAGGTGTATATAAATATATAAAATAGCATGTTTATATATTATGATATATCTTTGTTATTATTGTTATTATTATTACCCTAGTAGAATATAAATCCTTTGAGGGCAGAGACTTTTTTTTTCTTTTCAGAGCTAGCGATACCACCAATCACCCAGTTCTCCTGGATAATCTCTTTTCTGTAGTTTGTCATGACACTGACCTCTCCTGGTTTTCCTCCTACCTGTCTGGCCACTCCTTCTCAGTCTCCTTTGCTGGATCCACATCCAAGTGGAGCCCACTAACCAGATTGCCTGCCATGGTTTTGTCCCGGGCCCTCTTTCTTTTTTCTTCTCCCTCTTACTATTTTGTTTCACGATCTCATTAACTCAGATGCATTCAATTATCATCTGTGTGCAGATGATTCCCATATCTGTTTGTCCAGCCCTAACATCTGTCCCGACCTCCAGTCTTGAATTTCCAGCTGCTTATTGGACATCTCAAACTGGATATCTTGTAGACATATTACACTCAACATGTCCAAAACTGAACTCGTTCTCTTTCTCTCCAAACCCTCCCCTTTTCCTAGCTTCCCTATTACTGTAGAAGAAACCATCTTCCAGTCGGTCATCCTTGCTCACAACTTAGTGGTCATTTTTGGCTCCTTACTCTCTGTTACCCTCCATGCCCAATTGGTCACTAAGTCCTGTTGTTTTTACCTTTGTAACGTCTCTCATCTACGCCCGCTTCTCTCCTCTGACACTGCAACGAGCCTGCTGCATCCTCACACTTGGATTATTACAATGGCTTGCTGCTTGATCTCCCTGCCTCAAGTCTTTCCCTATTCCAATCCATCCTCCATTCAGCTGACTGACTGATCTTCCTAAACTGTAGGTCTGATCACGTCACTGCATCAGTGAATAAACTGTAGTGGGTTCCTGTCACCTTCAGGATCAACTATGAAATCCCCTGTTAGGCACTTTCAGCCCTTCTATTTGTCTTTCCAGTCTTCTCACACCCAACTCCTTTCCAGGTACTCTGCAATCCAGTGACATTGGCCTCCTTGCTGTGTACAAAAGAGGACGTGCAGGGGAGATGGGTGGGAGAAGGGAAAAGGGGAGAGGGGAGAGGAGAGAGACACAGCCTTGCTTTCCTTGGCTTCATGTCTTTGCCCATCCTTGCTTTAAGGTATGAGGATTGGGTGGCAAGGATAGGTTGGGACACCGGTTCCCTGGGTTCTATATTATCTTCTGCTCTGACCTCTTCCATTCCCTACCCATTAAAGAAGGCCTCTCTTCTGCAGGCCACTTTCTACAAACCACCTCTGAGATCCCCCCCACTTGCCCCATGTACCTTCCACTTTTGTCCAGACTCTTTGGTGTCCATAGGAGGCCCAGCTCAGAGCCAGAGCCAGCCTCCAGGTCATGGCAGGGATGGGCCAGGTGGCAAGTGATCCCATAGGCTGAGAGCTGCTATTGGAGACCAAGAGAGAGCAGCAAAGTAGGTTCTGCCTGTCCACTTACCAGCTGCTTTAGGCTGTCTCTGACTATACCTAAGAAACTCCAACTTCTCCAAAATCTCCTGACCATACCCCCCTGGGAAACCCTCCTTCCTGTCCCTCTTGCCTTTCACTTTCCAAAGGGTGTCAGAAATAGCTCAGCTGGCTGACCTTGAAGCATGTGGCAGAAGAGGTTTCACTGTGGACTAAGAGCAAGCACAAGAGGAGAAACCAGGATTAGAACCATCCATTTGCCTGTCAGTCTGTTTCTCTCTGGCTCCTCATGCTCTTGGTACTGGACCCTAGGTGTTTGGAGTGGCTAAGGGCCCAGGCAGTGAAGACCTGAGGTCTTTGATCTTTTGCCCCACCAGGAGACTCTGAAAAGTGGTAGATTCCATCTCCCTTCAGGGGAATCCAGGGACCCTTGGAACATGAGAATGAATCACTGAACATAGAACATGGACCCTGGAAATCACACAGTCCCTCACCCACATTTTATAGATATGGAAACCAAAACCCAGGGAAGGTAAGGGACTTGCCTAGGGTCACATGGAGAAGCAATGTGATGTCCTGCAAGGGGCACTCTATTTCCGGCTTTGCTACTTACTAGCTGCCACCTTAGGGAAGTTTTAGCTGTAAGAAAAACCCAGAGCCAGTGTCTGAACATAACCAGGAGGTGTTAACCTTCCAGACTTCATTCTGTTGACCAGGGCCATTTGGAGTGACCAGGTCCTCTCCTCCACCTTCCATCGAGTCAGGGGCTAGAGGGGCTATTGGCTCCAGTGTACTAGTCAGGGAAACCAAGCGCAGCTGGGTTGTGTTTGTGGGCTGACCTCATTTTATTTCTTCTGGGAAACATCTGGGCTGGAAACTGAGTACAGAAGTGGGCTGAGAATCATAGAAGCTGAGAGTTGGAAGACGCTTTAGTCGCAGCTCAGTCTCCTCCCCCATCTAAATATAGTCACACAACTCAATCATAGTTGAACAAAACTAAAATATACGCACAGATATAGCCAGAGAGAAACCTGCCCAGTGAACACACCACTTCCCCCACTTCCTTTACTGGGAAGAGCCAAGAAAAACCCCTGGGGCTTTCAGGGCCATTGCCAAGTGGGCCCAGAGGCTGGGGAGCTGGACCCTCTAGCCTGGTCCCCAGGGACATGAGTCAGGAAGTCTCATGGGCAAGGTGGGCATGGCTGAAGGGACCCAGATAGGCAGGGAGAAATTATACACCAAAGACTATCAGAGCAGGATACGGGCTTCAGAACAGAATGGAAGGAACAGTCTGGGAGGGGTGAGGAGACTTGCCCAGAGTCACACAGAGATTAAGTGATCAGAACAGGATTCAAACTCAGATCTTCCTGACTCTAAGACCTCCTCTCTATCCACTGCAACACCTAACTGCAAGACAAAAAAAGAATGCAGATGACTTTTGTGTTTTTATTTTACAACAGATAAATTGCTTAAGTGATTATTGCCTTGATCGCTTTGCTTTGGGTTTCCTAGATATACAAATATGTCATCAGCTAACAGAAATATTTTAACTGCCTTAGTTCTTCTTCAGTATTTAAAGATTCTGTAATTTCATGAGGGGGCCGGTAGGTGGAGCAGTGGATAGAGTGACAGGCCTGGAGTCAGGAAGACTGGTCTTCCTAGGTTCAAATATGGCCCCGGACACTTAGTACCTGTGACCCTGGTCAAGTCACTTTTAACTCTGTTTGCTTCAGTTTCCTCATCTGTAAAATGAGCTGGAGAAGGAAATGGCAAACCATTCCAGTATCTTTGCCAAGAAAACCCCAAATGGGGTCACAAAGAGTCAGAAACAACTGAAAAATGACTGAACAACAACAAAGATTTCATTAGTATTGATTGGTACTCCTTTCACTGGCAATGGCAACCCTTTGGTAGGGAAAGGAAAGGAAGGGAATGGAATGAGCATTTATATAGCACCTACTATGTGCCTGGCACTGTGCTAAGCAAATGCTATACAAATATTATCTCATGTGATCCTCACAGTAACCTGAAAGGTAGGTGTTATTATTATTCCTATTTTACAGTTGAGGAAACTGAGGCACCCATAGGTTAAGTGACTTGCCCAGGGTCACAAAGCTAGCAAGTTTCTGAGGCTAGATTTGAACTCAGGTCTTCTGACTCTAAGACTGGTGCCCTATCCACTGTGCTACCATCTGTTTTGCTACCAAAACTATTTTGTAAATCTTAAAAGTTCTATATGTCAGCTAAGATCCAAATGGATCTGTAATCTCCTCAGTTTGGATGTTTCTTTCACTGGTGCATATTACGTCTTATCCATGCCTGCCTGTCTCATATGACAACATGCTGAAGGCCATTCTCCACTTCTTCTGATATCCTATGGATGGTGTCATAACACAGGCTGTCCTTGTCATGTGACTTATCTCGTCATCGATAAGCATTTATTAAACACCTCTTATGTGTCAGGCACTGCCCTGCTAAGTACTGGGGGATACAAAGAAAGGCCAAAACAGTCCCTTGCTTTCAAGGGGCTCATAGTTTAATAAGTGAGACAACATGCAAGCAACTACTGTGTGTACAAACAAGATACATATAAAAGAACTTGGAAATAATCCCACAGGGAAGGCAGTAACATTAAGGATTAGGAAAGGCTGCTTATAAAGGTGGGGCTTTGGCTAAGACAGGGAAGCCAGGAGGCAGAGATAAGGAGGGTGAGAATTTCCGGCATGAGAGACAGCCAGTGAAAAGCATAGAGTCTGGACATGGAACAGCAAAGAGGCGTGTGTCACCGGATCAAAGAGCACCTGGGAGGGAATAAGGTGTGAGATGACTGAATTGTAGCAGGGGGGCTGGTAATAAAGGGCTTTGATGCCAAACAGGATTTTATATTTGATCCTGGAGGTAATAAGGAGCCACTAGAATTCATCAAATGGGAGGGGGTTGACATGTTTGTTGCTTTTTTGTTGTTCAGTCATTTCAGTTGTATCTGACTCTTCATGATCCCATTTGGGGTTTTCTTGATAAAGATAGTGGAGTGGTTTGCTATTTCCTTCTCTAGCTCATTTTACAGATGAGGAAGCTAAGGCAAACAGGGTTAAGTGACTTGCCCAAGGTCACACAGCTAGTAAGTGTCTGAGGTTGAATTTGAACTCAGGTCTTCCTGACTCCAGGCCCAGTGCTTATCTACTTTACCACCTAGCTGCCGTTTTTGCCGTGTTCAGGCCTGCGCTTTTGGAAGCTAATTTTGGCAGCTGAGTGGACTGGATTGGGAGAGACTTGAGACAGGGAAACCAACTGGCGGGCTATTGCAATAGTCTAGATGTGAGGTGACGAGGGCCAGCACCAGAGTGGTGGCAGGGTCAGAGAAGAGAAGAGGGGTATAGACCAGAGATGTGGAATTGTGTAATTTGGAGGATGGTGGTTCCCTTAATAGTAATAGGGAAGTTAGGAAGAGGGGAGAATTTGGGGGAAAAGAGAATGAGTTCAGTTTCATGCATTTCTTGGATGACATCACTTACTGCTTTTCTTCTTGCAAATTTCTCTCTCTTCCTGTGTTGCTCACCCTGGGCCTCTCCATTGTCCTCTGGAGGACACTTCTTTTCGATTCCCCACACAGTTGTGTTCCATGTCTCAGCCGCCACCACCATGGTGCAAAGCGGAGATTAAAGAGCTGGGAAGACCCTTACAGTGCTTGGCTACTTCCTGGAGGAGATTCAGCCCCTCTTCCAGTTTAATGCCAAGCCTAATTCACTGTCCATTTGAACTATCTCTTAGACATCTACAGTCTGAAGGACAAGTCTACCAGTTTTCCTTCCAAATGCACATCATACTCTTCAAAATTATCCATCATAATAAACAGCCAATATCATTATTACCATGAGTTACTAGATGGACTTTGAGAATTGCAGACCAAAATTCACTCCTGTAGTCGTCACGATAACAAGGCTCTCTTATCTAGCCTGATCTTCAGTCCATCACTGGGCCTTCAAACCTTTCCAACTTAGGAAGAGCTTATGCTATAATAACATTAATAACAGTTAGTATTTACATAACACTTTAAGGTTTGCAAAGCTCCCTTCACGTTACCCTGGTTTTCACAATAATGCTGTGAAGTAGGTGTTATTATCCTCATTTTACAGATGAAGGAGATGAGGCAGAGAAAGGTTAAGTGACTCATCCAGGGTCACAAAGCTAGTAAGCATCTAAGGGTAGGATTTGAACTCAGGTCTTCCTGACTTCAAGTCCAACAATCTATGGTTATCAGTAGCCTCTGAAAACCTCTTCATCGTCAATACTCATTTCCTTAATTTATTTTTCCTGCCTTACCTACAAGTGAAGGATTCATGGGAGGACATGGTGGTGTAAGATGAGAAAGCACGAATGAATGGTGATCTGCCTTCTGAGAGAGAACACCCACATTAATGAGATCATAAACTATCAACAGGTATTATTTTAAAGACTTTGTCAAATAAGACTGGTAACCATTGAGAACCTTGCTTGTTCTCCATTTTTAGTGGGAATGCCCATAATGTTTCTTTACTGCTCGTAATGCTAGCTTTTCAAACTTCTCATTTTACATATGGGGAAACCGAAGACCAGAAACAAGACGTGACCAAGGTAACAGAGCTAGGGAGGAGCTCTCCTCTCCCTATCCCTTGACAGAGACCAATCACACCACATTCCACTCTGTGAATATAAATAAGTTTATTGGTGTGTCTTGGGTTGGGGAGGCTGTGGGCTGAGAGATTATCACAGGATCTTGGGCTCTGGAGGCTGTTTGCCACTGTCTCGATCCCTCCCCACCACCTCCCCCCTTTCTATTAGTGTTCAGATAGCTTGGGGAAAGGTGGCATTTGTGGGATGAGCTGTCAAGGCAAAAGGGGGGGCCCAAAGTCCAGAGACTGTCTGGGTTTGGAGGTTGTCCTAGGGTGGTACCAGGCTCTACTGGGTGTGCCTTAAGCAGTGCCAGGGTCCAAAAGGCATGCCTGTGTTTGGAGCGATGCCCGGGTCCAGAAGGTGTGGCCTGGGCAGTGTCA